TGGTCACAGAGCTCTTCCAGGAGGAAAATCCATCCTGGACCACGCAAGACCCTGGCTCTGTGCCCCTTTAGAGGGTGCTGCTCTTTCCCAGCTTTCAGAAGATGGTCCAGCTGCCCTCAGGACTGCTTTAGCTCCACCTTTGATTCCACAGGGAGTTCCTTGCTGTTTCAGACCTTTCAGCAGGTGCTGCTTGCCCCTGCAGTGCCGGCATTCCCGGAGCCATTCCCTGGCACAGTCCCTGAGAGTCCCTGGCTTTCTGACTCCTCTCATTTAAATCCACAAACTCTTCAAAGGTTTTGCTTTATGATCCACTTTTTATAGCCTGAAATTCAGGCAGTTTCTGGTGCCACCTTGTGTCACAGAGGAGCAGATCTGTGGAGCTGTCACTTCCTCTGGACATTGGAATATTGCGGGTTTAACTTCTTGACTTTTGGGTGCAGCATCAGAATTAACAAGGTCAGATCACCAGGGAGATTCAGAGGGTGACACTTCTGCATGAAATGAGTTTGAAGCAGTTGAAAAATTAATTAAATTATGAATTGGTTCTTTGGCTTTTCCTGGAATTGTTCAAGGCCAGGTTGGACAGGGTTTGGAGCAACCTGGGATAGTGGAAGGTGTCCCATGGCAGGGGATGGAACGAGATGAGCTTTAAATTTCTTTTTCAACCCAGAGATTCTGTGTTTCCATGATTTCCTCTATTGCCGTTTGCTGCACACAGTGAGGAGCTCAAAGGAAATTGCTCAGGTAGATGAAGAATTGTTATTTTTGGAAATGTGTGGGCTGTCCCTTTCCTTGATGCTGAACCACTGTCTAAGGCAGAAAGCTGCTGGGAACAGTTTTGTTGTTCAAAATTCAGCAGCTGAATAGTTTGTGCACTATCAATCAAGGGAATTACTAATAGCTCCATTGCTAATTACTGATTTGCTTTATTTATGTGTCAAGCTACCACTGTGCTTTGCAGATGTATTGTAAAATAAGTGAAAAATAAGAAAAGAAGCCAAAAAATGACACTTCCGTCAATCAGGCCTTGTGTACCAACTTCTTCATTTCAATGAGCAGATGAATTTTCTCTACCTCCAAGTTCCTACTTTTACTTTTTTTCCTTTTATGGTTCCTCCCATTATGCATTCAGAATACTGAATTAATTAAAAAAATTAACTCATATTACCCCCCAAAAATTTAAACTCACATTTTATGGGAAAATATTTATTTCGTGGCATATCTGTTGAAACATGGTAAAAGTTTAAATCTTCTTCATGAGTGGGGGTGCTGCAAAAATGGGCAAAATTTGTGCTGAGCATCACTAGATGTCACCCTCGACCTGAATTTTGTTTCACAGGAGTTTTAACTTTAAATTACTCCTCTTCTGTTCTCATACTCCCCCCTCTTTCCCCCCCTTTGTTTTTAATGCATCTTCCAGTTCAGTGCAGCACAAACTGTCGTGCATCAATATTTTCCTTGCTTAAAACCAGAATCAAAATTAGGCCAAATAGAAATTACTGGAATCTTCAATACCATCCATTTCTGTGCTAGATCAGCACTGAGGAAACAGAAAAAGCAAAATCTCCTGGGAGAGGGTTTCTGTCTAATGGGTCTGGTTGGATTTTGTTCAGATCTTGTTGGAATCTCCATCGTGGGAAATGAAGAGGAATGCTGAGGTCAAACCCCCATAAAGTCACGAGGAGCTCTGACTTCTTCTCTGTTCCAGCACCATTTCCACAGGAAAAAAAAAAAAGAAAAGGCCCTTTTATAAAACAGGCTTAGGCAGTAATTTTCAGGTGAAGCAAGTTTTCAGGGAAAGGCTTTGTTTTTCAACTCTGAAATTCTTTGTGAGAGCATTCCGGCCTTGCAGGAACATTCATGCTTGAATGAGAGGCAAAAATGTGTTTATGAAGTTCATGCTGTGTTTATGGATTTATTTAAAGAATAATTTCATTCAGGTCCCATTCTTTTAACCTGGAATAACTTATTTAATGATATTAATTTCTTAGGTAAGAAAAGGTTTAGGAAAATTCTTTAATGAAATGAAAAAGAGAGTTTTGCCTATTAAACACATTTTTAGGTTGACTGAAAACATACTGGTCATAGATTTAGAGTTTTTTTCTTTACCTTCAACAAAAAGCACAGAACAATGAGTCCACATGGGGTTATCTGATATTGGAAAACCCCTTGGGGTTTAGAATTTCAGGGAGCAGGCAGGGAGTTCGGTTTGTGGCCTGTGAAGTCACTGTGAGATAACAGAGACCAGGAGATTGGAGGGGATGCTCACACCTCGTGGCTGGAAGGAAGTTTGGGAAAAGTTGTTCAGAACCTCTGGGAGTAAATCTGAGAGAATCCAGTCCTTTTAGCCTAAAAACCGTGAGGTTTAGGGGGAGAATCGGGATAGTTCAACCTGGAGAAGCTCTGGGGTGAGCTCAGTGTGGCCTTGCAGGGCCTGCAGGAAAGATGGAGAGAGGATTTCCAAGGGATGGAGGGACAGCACACAGGGAATGGCTCCAAACTGACAGAGAAGAGGTTTAGATGGGATATTAGGAAAAATTTCCTCCTGTGAGGGTGGTGAGGCCCTGGCACAGGGTGCCAGAGCAGCTGTGGAAGTGTCCCAGGCCAGGCTGAACAGAGCTGATGTTTTCCTACAGCAAAACTTGCACTGCTGGTCCAAAACATTCACCTGGTGCCTTGCTCAGGCAATGCACAAAGAGTTCTTGTTCTTCCAGGTTGGTTCCAAGCCCTTTCCCCCATGATTTCCATCCCCTCTGGAGGGTGGTTTGTTCCAGCAGGGAATTTGCTGCAGCTCCTGATTCTGGCATGTGCTGGAATCCATTCACTGAGAGCAAAGAAAGGGAAATTACACCAGAGCCTTTATTCAAGGAAGGTGTAATTTAGGGCTTCAGATTAATTGAAAATGTTTGCTCCAAGGGCAGCAATTGAGCTCTGCTCTGATTAAGTGCTTGCTCCCAGCCTCTGTGGCCTTGCAGAGGGGAAGGACCCTCATGTCTGCAGAGCCTTTGTGAGGAAAACCTGTCATTTCCCCACTCTGAAATGTTCTGTGCTGCTGAAATCATGTTAGGAAGAGAAGTTCCTTGGGATTCTCTAATTTCCAAAGGAAATAGTTGTTCCTCAAGGGCTGAGCATTCTAAGTGGGAACAGGCCAGTTCTAGAAATGTGATTCTGAGGGAATTAGTTGCTATTTTATTTTATCCAAATGGCTTCAGATAATTGTCAAAGAAAGGTGTTTCCCAGGAATCCTTTTTCTAGTTTAGTGAAAAATTTCCATCTGTCACACTAGACACAGAGCACTCAGAATTGAGGGCATTGAAAGACAATCTTTTATTAAATATTTCTTTAGAAGAGCTGGATTTAGTCAGGCACTGTTATATTATTGGCTGTGTTAAGCTAACATTCCATCAAAGAATTACTTTTAATCAGTTCAAACGATTAAACCCTGGTTATATCAGCAGGTATTGACCTTCCATTTAATTTCCAGTGCCTCGAGTGATCTGGGAGAGTTCTTCCCTAATCCTTTCTCTTCCACTTCTACCTTCAGAGCTCTGGCACTGATGGATGAGATTTGTACTGTGAGGGTGTCACTGTGGTATTTTCTGCAAAAATCCCTTCGCCAGGATTTCTCTCCTGGGAAGCTGAGAAGCCTCAGAGAAAAAGGAAAACAATATTATCTAATTTGCTTCTCCTGTGTTTTGCTGCTTTGGAATGTGTTTGGTGATTGTTTACCCACAAGTGATTGTTTCATTGGTTTCATGTGAATTGTTTTTACTTATTGGCCAATTGGGGTCAAGCTGTGTCAGGACTCTGGAAAGAGTCACGAGTTTTTCATTAGTATCTTTAGCCTTCTGTCTGCATCCTTTCTGTATTCTTTAGTATAGTTTAGTATTCTTTAACATAATATAGATAATAAAATAATAAATTAGCCTTCTGAGGACATGGAGTCAGATTCATCATTTCCTTCCAATGTCAGGGCACCCCCAAATACAAGAGTGGGGGCTGAGCCAGAGCCCACCCTGGGCTCACAGAGATCCAGTGGCACCTGCTCTGCCCCGACCCCCTCAGCTTCCTGCCTTGTTTCTGTTAAAAATCTGCTTTTAGAGCAGCAGAGGAAGGAACTCAACCTTCATCAACCCCAAACGTTTTCAATTCCTGTTGCTTCTTAAAAACTCTGCTTTGCATTGACGTTTCAGAGCTTTTGATTTTCTCCTCTGCCTCTGCTTGGAGGAGAAGAACTTTCAAAATGTGCAGAGTTTCACCTTCCAGCTGTGTCTCCTCAGAACTTTCAGCCTCCACATTGATTCTGACACGGGTTTGTGATGTTGCAGGAGTCACCAGAGAAAGGAGGGGAAACCCAAGGTGTGCTTTCCCTGCAGCTGCTGAACAATTTTTGTCAGGGCTGGGGTTTGATTTCAGGAATGCTTTGCTGGTAATTCCCTCTCCTAATCACAATTCTCTCCAGAAGTACAGACAGCAAAGAGAACGTTTAAAACGCTGTTTATCTTTAGAGGGATCTTGTGCATTAAGCTGCAGGTGCTCCCCCCCAATGTGCAGCTACCCATGCTGGAGTTTGAGACGTGTTAAAATTGCTGCTGTGCATAAAAACACTGCTGGGAACACTCAGCATTGTGTTTGTAGCTCCTCAGGCAAACTCCCTTACATTTAGCATGGAATTTATGTGGGAACTGACATATGTTGGGTGTTCAGACAGATGCAATGTAATCAATCATAATAAATAGTAATAAATCACCATTTCAGTATTCAGGGCTCAGTGATTTCAGGAAGGCTCTAGAACATAAATATCAGTTCAGGAAAAGCAAACAAACAACTTCTACTTCTTTTTTTTTTTTTTTTTTTTTGGGTCTTTCCACAGAGCTGCCATAAGGAAGGAAAGCATCATTATTGTTTCTTTCAGTTCTCAGCATAAAAGGAAGTAACACTTAATAAAAGCCATTGGCTGCAAGATTTCATAAGAGAGAGAGGCAGAGAGAGAGAGGAGCAGCATGCTGTGGAGAAGCAGGTGTGATTCATGAATAAACTGCTCCTTGGCACCCTGTAGGATACTGATGAAACAAATAGAATTTCCCCAGACATGGATAATACAAGAACAGCAGACACTTTTTCACAGGTAAAGCACAAAGTGTTATGGCTGGTGTGGAAGTGCTGCTGGTTGTGTGTGGCTGAGATGGTTTATCAGAAACTGGGGATGACTTTGTGCTTTATTGGCAAGGGATTTGCAGTAGGTTTTGGTGTAATGGACTATTATGTGATATGAGCTCAGCCTGCTCTAATATATCACAGAGTGTTTGCAGAAGGTGTGCAGGAGACAATATTTTTCTGTGCTTTATTCTTGAGAAAGTTGAAATGTGCAAAGTTTTCCTGATACAAGGAGAGAAAAATCAGTCTTTCTCCTGCCATGCTAGAGAGGATTTATTAACACTTTATATTATCTGTGCTAAAAATTTCCATAAGGTAATTGGAAGGAAGAAAAAGTGCTTTGTATTATAGGCAAAAGCAGTCTTTTGATAATCCTACAGGAATCTGAGGTGATTGATATGCCAGGGTTGAACACACATCAGCTTGCAGCACTGTGGATTTGTCTGAGTGCCTGCCACACACAGAGACTTGGAGCAGTCTGCTTGTTTCAATATTTGGGAATACCTGGATAACTGAGTCGTGGGAAGCTCCTCTGTGCCTGGGACAGCTGATGGGATTGGCAGAGGGAAAAGAGGAATCAGGGAATAGAGAGGATTGGCAGAGGGAAAGATGAACCAGAGAGAAGAGCAATCAGGGAGAAGAGCAGTCAGGGAAAAGAGGAATCAGGGAGAAGAAGAACAGTCAGGGAAAACAGGGGATTGGCAGAGGGAAAGATGAATCAGGGAAAAGAGGGGATTGGCAGAGGGAAAGATGAACCAGGGAGAAGAGCAATCAGGGAAAAGAGGAATCAGGGAGAAGAAGAACAGTCAGGGAAAACAGGGGATTGGCAGAGGGAAAGATGAATCAGGGAAAAGAAGAATCAGGGAAGAGAGGAATCAGGGAGAAGAGCAATCAGGGAAAAGACCAGTTAAGGAAGAGAGGAATCAGGGAGAAGAGGAATCAGGGCAAAGGAGAGTTGTGTTGTGTGCAGGCTCTGAGCTCTCCTGGCTGGCCAAGGGTGAGAGCTGGGTGGATCCAGCCCGGCTTGCTTGGCTCCCCTTGTTCCCCAGGTGTGAGAGTTTTGCCAGGCCAGGCTCTGGCAAACCCCAGAGCAATCACACAGACGAGGAGGAAAACAAAACCTCTTTGTGGCTTTCTGCTTTGTCACAGGGGAAAAGGGCAGGGGCTGCTCTTGCACATTTTGGAAGTTTTTCTCCTCCGAGCAGAGGCAGAGGAGACAATCACAAGGGCAAGGATGGGTGACCCAAACACTGGATTCTTGAGCTTGCCACACATCAGTTGCTCCAGCTGAAGTGCCATAAGATTGCAGCTCCCATCTGGCACTGCTGCAGGAGATGCTGAGGTGCTGCCATCCCTGTGGAGCAGCTGTTGATGCCAGAGGGGTTGGGAGGGCACAAGCCCAGCCCTGCAGGGTTTTTCCCCTCTCCCTGCTGGTCCTGGCCCGGGGGTTTCTGGCTGGCACAGACACACAGGGAGATCTCTCAGGGATCTCTCATCTTCCCTCTTGCTCTGCCGGGGGCTCAGGGGCAGCACAGGTGTGGAAATAATCAAATTTCTGCCTCCAGAGAGGGCTTTACTGACTGAGAGCAAACAGGAAACCACGGCCAGGTGGTGCCACTTGTCACCGACTTTCACCCCCAGGAAAGCACAGGCACGGAGCTCGGCTTGCAGGAGCACCAAAATACCCACAAAGGCAAACTGTGCCTGAGAAAAACCAGTTTGAAACTTCTTGTGAGCTCCTTTTAAAAGCAGGCTTTGTGTTTTCCTGAGGCTTTTCATCTGAGAGCTGCTAAGATCATGCTGCAAGGTCAGAGCCTTTTGCTTTTCCACCCTGCTTTACTTTAATCAACTGCTTTAAAGCACTTTATCCCCGTGGATTTCCCCTACAATTTTCATTGGACTTTTTCTTAAAGGCCACCTCTCTTAGATGATTGATTTTTTCCCCCCTATTTCTTTTTTTCAATTATTATTTTTTTTTTATTTCCCTGGTCTTTTCTAAAGTAGTTTAAAGTGGATTTTCACCGTATACTTACCAAGGGATTAATTCTATTTAAATGAGGCCAAATGAGTCCATATTTTCTGATGTGTGTGTTCATGAAGGTGCACTCAGCCTTAGCTGCAGCTCTGGTGGCCTGAGGGACAGGCCTGAAGCACATCCTCTCCTCCTCACACCCAAACAAAGTTAAATTTCCTGCTCCTGAGCCATTTGGAGCTCCATGTTCCTTTCTCAATATTGCCCAAATTCCTTGGAGATTCATATGTTGTTACAATTAATCACTCCACACCTTCATACCAGTAAGAAATAAATTACAATAAAATATATTTTTATATACCAGTAAGAAATAACTTACAACAAAATGTCTTTGGGTTCCTCCAGCTCCTTCTGGAAGTGGCAGAATGAATATTCCCAATATTCATTCTCGTGGGAGCACAATGAATATTCCCAAGCCTTTTTTTTTTTTTTAACAGAAATTATTTTCTGACTTTAAGACCCAGCTTAAATAGATGTCCAGGTAGGTGATCCTGAGGAATTGGCCCATTTGGAAAAAACAGTCTATTTTTAAAGTGCTGAGAACTGAACAGAACAAAACCATTGATAGAGACAAGGATCACATCCTGCTGAATCTGTCAGAGTTTAGGAGGAGATGGACAAGGAGAAATTTACCTCAAGATTTTGCTGGGATGATTTATGAACAACCCAGAATCCCGGGGAAAGGAAAAGCCAGGTCAGAAATGATACATCAGCAGATGGATGCTCGTTGGGTTTTTATTTTTATTTCTTTTTGCAAGCTCTTAATCCATGTTTTGATTAGTACATAATGAAGGGTTTGTTCATTAAATGTTCCAGCTAATTAAGAAGACACTCGTGGAGCCCCTGGATCCTCAGTTAAACGTGCATGAAATCACTGCTGCTTTCTCTCTGCCACACTTCATACCTTTTGCTTAGCAGGTGCTAATGTGATTTAATAAACCTCCAGCAGGATGAAATCTCTTGTTCAGCATTTAGCAATTTTAGCATTAGATTTAGAATTAATCTTTCTGTTACAAGACATGAGGGCACAAGGTGAGGTTGTGAGCAGAAGGATGCATGTTTTTCTCCTAAAAAATTAGATGTGGCTGTAAAATAGCCCAGCAATCTTTGTTTCTTCACAAAATTAATTTGACTCTCACATTAATAAGCAAATATGATAATCCTTGATACTTCTTATCACTGTGGATTATTTAAATTGCCATCACTAAGGGCACAGAATGTTATTATTTCAGTAGCAAACTGAAATGCTCCTGTATGAGCCACCTCCTTCATTCTATTTCTGTCCATTTTGGAGCAGAGCATTTAAACTGTACTGAAACTGTACTCTGGGTAAGTTCACACTGAAGGATTGTTTTGAAATCAAGTCTAATTTAAAATATTCAGGCCACAGACTGTGGTGATGCTGAGGCTGCTTCTGACAAAGCAGCAATGGTGCCTGGAGGAGATTTCCAGGGAAATCTCTGCCTTGGAAATAAAGGCTCACAGGCTGGATGGAGTTTTCCAACATTTTTAAATCTCTGCCTGCCCCTTTCCCCTGGAAAAGCAATGGAACCTTCAGTTCTTTGTAGGTTTGCACTGAATTAAAGTGCAGAACAAGGTTAGATATGGGCCAAAGCATTTGTTTAAGTCTTCTTAAGGATGTGCAGTGATAAGAGACTCCATAATTTTCCTTGGATGGCTCAGTGTTATTCTTATATTTTCCAAACATCTCAGCAGAACCTCTTTTGCTGTAATTTCTCTCTTTTGCTGTAATTTCTCTCTTTTGCTGTAATTTCTCTCTTTTGCTGTAATTAATCTCTTTTGCTGTAATTTTCTCTCACATTTTTCGTTACCTCACCACAGAGAGAGCCTCCTGCTCCTTCCCTTATGAACCCGTGCCTGCCCCAGGCTGTGAAATCCCAATCCTTCCCTTGGAAATCCCATTTTTCCAAAGCTCTGCTTACTCTCACTATCCTGAGCTGGATCATCCAGCTCTTTTCATGGAAATCTTCCCACCCATTCCAGCAGGATCAGTGCTGAGCACTCTTATTTCAGTGTTTTGCTGCTGTCTGGAATCTCCCCAAGGGAAATTCCCTTTTATTGCAGCAGCACCACGGTGGGAACTGCTGTCACTTTGCAAGCTGCTCAAACTTCTGGGCTTTTTTTGCAAAAAATATGTTCTTCAGCCAGTGCTTGTGAAGCTGGCAGCTCCTGCTGAGCATCCAGATTTTTTTCCCCCTCTGCTTGCTGAATTATAGATTATTGCTGCTCTCGTTTGTCAAGGTTGTTTGGAATTTGAATCCCCCTCTCAGTTCTCTCCAGCTGCCCATCAAAATCTGCAAATTTAATAAAAATAATCTCCAGTCCTTCAGCAGATCACTGATGAAACAGTGATCAAGTAGCACAAAAGTACATCAGTCTCCTGTGCAAGCAGCTCCACGCAATTTATCCTGAATTTTCACAGTGAAATTACTTTCCAAGTGTCATTTCCTGATGAGTTCTCAGAGCTGGTGGAGCAGGAGGCTCCGTGTTGGTGACTGAGGGAAAATCTGAAGTGTTTTCCTCCTGTGAGACCTAGAAAGTGTCATTTTTTTCAGAGGGAATTTTAAGAAATGTTAAGGCTTCGAGATTTCTCAATATGGTGGTATTTTCAATACTGAAAATAGTTAAAATTGTTGGCATTGTGACCATGCTGTGGACAATGGGCACCAGTTTGTAGCTTCATGGTTTTGAGAACTGTTCTTGGAGATTTTGATGTTGTTGCAATCAATCACTCCATACCTTTATACCAGTAAGAAATAACTTACAACAAAATGTCTTTGGGTTCCTCCAGCTCCTCCTGGAAGTGGCAGAATTTCCAATATTTTCAAGGAAATCAAGCTCCTGTTTGATGAATCCCTTCTTCTTTGAATAAATGTTGACAGGCATTATTCAGCCAGATATGGATCTGCAAAAAATAA